TTCTGAATTCCAGCTGTGTTAAAGTTCCCTCTAAGCAACTCTCCTGGGCTGGATTCTGTGGTGTCCCTCTGGTATGTGTCACTCCGTCGCCATCTTCCCGGAACTCCGATTTAGATCTTATGTATTCAAGAATATTTGAATTGTTTATTAAAGCATATAAATAAAATAATAATAAAAAGTTAACCTAGTTAAAAAAGAGCATTGAGTTTGGAGAAATGAAAGTTAGATGAAGCAGGGATTGTTGAGAGTTCAAAGTTAATGGTACATAGAGTGGAGTGTGCCATATACTTAAATTTTTTTTTACTTGACCTGCATCATATTTATCATTTCATTTAGTAATGCCATTGAATATACCTATTTTATAGAAGGTTCTATACTTGAAAAGAGGGGAGAAAAGTACGTTTTACACAAAGTGAGCTAGGTCTAATGGAGGCAGATTTGGGATTCATGAGGGTAGATTGAGCAGAACGGATGCTACTCTGTCTGTGAGCACTAGGAAACTACTCAGATCATCTGAGGCATTGTCTATTGCTACCTTCTGTTACTAAGATTGCCCATGTCATGATCATGGCTAATGGTTTTGTGTCCATATCTAGGAACTCAGAGAGCAAAGGACTGTGGAAATAATACACTTTCCTTGGATGAAAGAAAGCTTGACAGATATGGTATTTACAAAATTTCATGTCAACTGGCTAAAAGAATGAAGGGGTAGGATCAAGCCTGTCTGTCAGGTGACAGCCTGAAGATGTGTCCTTGGGGGCATGGCCCAATCATGAGAACTCCCTCTCCTCTCTCCCTCTGCTCCATATTCCTGTTGACAGGTCACATGGAACCATGCTGATGGCAGACAGAAACCTGGACATGCATTCACCACCATTGGATCCACAGGACTTTCCACCCACCAGCCTGTGATCTTCCTGCATTTGGCATCATTGCATGTGCTGCAAGAGTCTAAGATGAATTCATGGGCTAATATCAGACTTATGGGCTAATATCGAACTTAAGGACTTGATCTGGACTGGGCTGGTATGTTTTATTGATGCATAATTACTTCTTGATATAAAGCTCTGTCTTACACATATACGCATGTCTCTGGGTTTGTTTCTCCAGTCTACCTATACTAACACAACAGATAACTTACTTCTTAAGCCCTTGACTAAGGACTAGGGGTAGACAGGTAAAGGAGAAAGAGCAGTGACTAATTACTGGAGCATATTTAGAGAGGGATGGGGCCTCTCAGAGAGAGAAGAGGAAAATTAGGCCCTGAAAATAAATTAGGAATTGAACCAGGGGAAACCAATGTTCGAGGAACCAAGGGTAGTAAAACTTGTTAAGGAACTCGTGGCCAATAATATCAAACTGTGAAGGGTGGATGAAAGAGGGCATTCATATTTACCATTAAAAGATCACTGATAAAAAGGTCATCAGGGATGGAAACCATATTGCAGTGGATTTAAAGGTGAATGGGAAGTGGCAAAAAGTGGAAGCAGCTGAACTGCTATAGCTCTTTATAGATGCTCCCATCCAACTTTATCATTTTGTTTTGGTAAGGATTGTTTTGAGAAATATGATTGCAGAAGTATATTTGATTAGATGAGTAAACTAATCAAGAGGAACCAAGAGGAACCGTTACTTTTGATAAATAAGATTGTGTTATAGAAGCATAATTGGATATACACAATTTATTTGTGCTGAAAAAGAAGTGTGTTTTATTTGTCTTCACCAGAAAGTCTTGAATTTTCAATATTTTGAATGAATGGACAAAATAATATCAAAATCATTAAAAGTTTTTATTCAGATACTTACAGCTAATAACTCCTATATTTGGGTGCTTTTCTTTCATTTACTTATGTGACAAATATTTCTGGAGGACTTGCAGAATGGGCAGAGGACTGAAGCCAAATCACCTTATTTTGCACCTCAACATAAAAAAATACAAATTCTCACAAACAAATCAATAGGAAACCTTATGATGAATGGAAGAATTATTGAAATTCTCAAGGGTTTCATTTTATTTGAGTCCACAATCAACACTCACAGAAGCATCAGTCAAAAAATCAACTAACAACACACTGCAGGCTCTTGGCCCTTGGTTTACTGTGGGGATTCCGGCCTGCCCAGACTCCTTTCTGAAGTATAATACCAAAGGGACATCACATTATGCAGTATCTGATTGGAAAATTTTAAATTAGTCTTTTGCTTTCGTTTTACTTTTGCCATTATTGAATCTTAATATATGGAATTTAAAATCTCTTCCATATGTACATCCATTATTACCATTTTTCCAGATTGATGTTTTTCCCCATCATTTCTTCAAGGGAAATTAAATTAGTTGGAGAGAAAATTGTTTTTAATCAAAGAACATATTGCATTGGACAAATCTGATCTGGACAACACCTCTTTAAAGTGTTAAAGAGCAAAGGTTCCTGACCCAAACAAAGGTATATTTAATATTGCTGTTGCTAGGTGCCAGCTTCAGCTTGTAATGAACCCATGTACAACAGAACAAAACTGCGTGGTCCTCCATCAGAACCACCGTTGTTGTCGTGTCTGAGCCTCCTTCCTGCTGCAGCCACAGTTTCAGTCTATCTTGTTGAGGATCTTATTCTTTTTTGCTGACCCTCTGCTTTGCCAAGAATGATGTCCTTTCCCAGAGACTGGGATTTCCTGAGCACATACCCAAAATATGTGAGAAAAGTCTTACCATCTTACCTCCAAGGAACATTCTGGATGGGCTTCTTTACAAGGCAGATAGATGTGTGTATTTTTAATGTAGGTCACAGTACTTTCAATATTCTTTGCCAAACATCATGATTCAAATGCATCAATTCTTCGATGGTCTTCCTTATTCGCTGTCTAATTTATCACATGCACATTAGGTGATTGAAAATACCATGGCTTGGGCCAGGTGCACCTTAGTTCTCAAGTGACCACTCCTTTTCAACAGTTTAAAGAGGTTTTGTACAGCAGATGTGCCCAATCATTATTATATCATTTGAGTCCCAATTTACTGAAGGGAGAGCCACCACCCTTCCTTGTTTCCTTGGGGGGTGTGATCTGCAGACTAGCTATCATCTTTGGAAACTGTGTTAAAACAGCAACTAACTGGTTTTAAGATGTTCCCTTAATGGGCAAAAAAGAAGCTACATATTTAACTGAGAAAAGCAGGAGACTGGAGTCATAAAACTAGCTAATACTAGACCTGGTCTGCCTAAGATGTGCCAAAGTAACTAACATGCCCTCTATCTAACTTTTTGACATCAACAGGAATAAAACCATACCTCTATCAAAGCCCTGAAAGTGAGTATGGTGCTATCTTTGTGACACCTACTTCCTGTCCTCTGCTTCCCGGCTGCCTATGCATGGAAGACTAGCGCTGAACTGCCCAGTGATGAGCACCACTCAGATGCCAGTTACCGACCTATGAAAACTGTGGGAGAGTAGCCATCTTGAACTGTGCTGAGTATTTTGGGAAACGTTCACTCTCTTGCTCTGAATCCTGCATCTGTCTTGCCTCTACCTGAACTCCAGGTCTTTTCTTTATTTTTTTAAGGGTAAAATTAATATTTAATTGCCTTTTACAATCAGATGGTAGTTGGGTATATAGTCTTCATACTTGGTTCTTTTTTTGTAAATAAAAAAAGTTTTACACAGCTGATAGCTGGTTATGTTTTCAGGAAGCATAATTAATATAACTGGCTAATAGTAGCTTCAAGTTTTTCCTTATCAGCACCAGAAAATGTGCCCACATTTTGTCTCTGTTCATAAAACTGAAATGTTAGAATGCATTTGACTTCACACTCTGAAGGAACATCTTGACAGTCATCCACAGCAACTTCAAGGAAGACCACATTGCTGTACTCTTCATGGAAGGGATGATGCAAAAGCTTGATCCTTTTGGAGGACTCACGCCATGTGGCTGAGAAGTCAATGACTACGAGCTTCTCTCCAGCACTGTTCAAGGCTGCCTGAAAAATCGATCTACTTCACCATTTTGACCGCTGGGATTTGATGAGAGACCAGGGCCCCAGAAGGAACAGAGTTGGGCACTGGACAGAGCTTGTATCCCTGATCTCCAATTCTTGAGAGACTTGAGCCAGCAGCTTATCACCTAACCCGATTCACCAGCTTCCATAGCTTTGTGAGTCAGTAGCCTGATTTGAAATGTTTGAGGAGAATCCTCAAGACAAACATCTGAACTTCAGATTTTGAACTTTCCGATCTTCACGACTGCATGAGTCATCTCTTTGATGGTTCATGAATTCTGTGAGATGTTCCAGAAAGTACCAGAATCCTGGATTGTGAGGGAAAATACTGAGGAGAGGGGTGGCCAGGAATCAAAGCTAGTTTTCCCACATGGAAGGTGAAAAGTCAACCACTTAACCACCAATGCCTCTGAATTATGATAACACCAACTTTTTGTTGATTAGATTACAAGTATGATCAAGATCGTTTTACTCAGAGTAAAGTAGATTATTAAAGAAGCTTTATAGACTCCTGTCTGTAGAAATAACTTTTGTCACTAGAAATCAACTCAGTTAAGTTTGAACTTAATCATGAATTCTCATACACAGTACTTGGCTGTTTTCCTTACAAACAACAAATAAAGGATATGTCCCTTGAGTTAAAGTTTTGTTGTTGTTAGGTGCTGTCAAATTTATTACAATGCAGAGTGACCTCATGCACAACACTGACTGGTCCTTTTCCATCCTCACAGTTTTTGCTTTGTTTGAACCCATTATTGCAACCATTGTGCCACTACACCTCCTTGAGAGTCATCCTCTTTTTCACTGACCCTCTGCTATATGAAGCATGATCTCCTCCAGGGACTGGTCCCTTCTGATAACTTGTCCAAAGTGTGTGAGATAAAGTATTGCTGTTCTTGCATCTAAGGAGCATTCCAAAAGTTAGAGTAATACTAATAAACTGCTACTATTTATTGAAGGTTGATAAATTTATTGAATGCTAGACTCTGGGTTTTGTGCTTTGATGCACCTTTCCCTTTATACCCTTTAAACAATCCTCCTTTGAGGAAGATAACACCCCCAAACCAAACCCCTTCTGTTGAGTCCATTTTGACTAAAAGCAATGTCATATTTGTTTTCTGAGACTGTAAATATATTTATGTACATATATATTTTAATAATTTTATTGGAGGCTCTTACAGCTCTTTTAACAATCCACAAATCATGTATCAAGCACATTTGTACATATGTTGCCATCATTCCTTTCAAAACATTTTCTTTCTACTTGAGCCCTTGGTATCAGTTCATTTTTTCCTCCCTTCCCCACTTTCCTACCCTCATGAACCTTTGATAATTTATAAATTATTATTGCTTTCATATCTTACACCATCTGCTCCTCCCTTCACCCATATTTCTGCTGTTTGTCCCCCTGGGTGGGGGGTTTATATGTTGATCATTGCAATTGGTTCCTCCTTTCTCTCCCCACCATCACTCACCCTGCTGGTATCACTACTCCCATTATTGTCCCTGAGAGGTTTATTCTTCCTGGATTTCGTGTACGGAGAGCTCTTATCTGTATCAGTGTACATGCTCTGGTCTAGTCGAACTTTTAAGGTAGAACTGGGGGTATGACAGTGGAGGCAGAGGAAGCCTAAAGAACTAGAGGAATGTTGTATGTTTCGTCGGTGCTATACAGCACCCTGGTTGGCTTGGCCCTTCCTTATGACCCTTCTGTGGGGGGATGTCCAATTGTCTATAGATGGACTTTGGGTCTCCACTCTGTCCCCACCCCCATTCCCATCAATATGATTGTTTGTTTGGGGTCTTCTGTTGCCTGATACCTGATCCTGTCAGCCCCTCTGTGGGCTTTGTTGCTTCTAAGCTTGATGGCTGCTTGTTTATCTTCAAGCCTTTAAGACCCCAGACTCTTTATCTTCTGATAGCTGGCATCTTCTGATCGGCTTTCTTCACCACATTGGTTTATGCAGCCATTTTGTCTTCAGCGATCGTTTCAGGAAGGTGAGCATCACAGAATGCTAGGTTATTAGAACAAAGCATTATTATGTTGAGGAGGTACTTGAGTAGAGGCCCATTGTCTGAGACTGTAACTCTTTACAGGAACAGACATCTTCATCTTTCTCCCACCTAGCGGCTGATGGATTTGAACTGCCAACCTTGTTGTAGGCAGCCCAAAACCTAGCTCACAGCAAAAGTCCCCTTATTCTACATATAGAAAACTGAGGGAAAATACAAAAGAAAATATTTTATGTATAATATGGTCCATTGTCTTACACGTTCAGAATGTCTTACTTTACTAGAATAACACATAATTTCTGGTTTGAATAGCTAAAAATTAGTACTTATGCAGTAGTTTAAACTAAATAAATCACATGCGCTTGAGAATGAATGCTGTCTTATGAAAGAACATGTCAATGGTACAGTGCCTTTATTGTGTGTGGGGTTTTTGCATAATGCTCAAGGCCCTGGACAATGACAGGGCAATTTATCTAACAGACAACTGGTACCATGAGGGGACATGAGGCTGGGAGGGAACGTTTGAGAAAAGAGCCATAAGAGCCAACTGATTGTCAGATGTAGTATATATTTTTATTAACTGTTTTAGCTTTTTTTTTTTTTTTTACTTTCAATCTTTTTTTCTTTTGGCTTTAAACTATTAAAATTTTCATTTAAAACTTTTAAACCAATAGAAAAGTGGCAAAACTAGTATAATGAACAATCATAAACTATTCATTTACATTCAACAATTCATCATATTTGCATTCTCTCTTCTTTGCTCTACATTTTTCTATTACTGAATGATTTTAAAAGCAGGGCTTACGCCATCAAAAGATAAGTGTCTGGGGTCTTAAAGGCTCAAAGGTAAACAGGCAGCCATCTAGCTGAGAAGCAACAAAGTCCATATGGAAGAAGCACACCATCCTGTGTGATCTTGAGGTGTCGATGGAATCTGGTATCAGACATCAAAGACACAGAACAAAACATCATATCGATGTGAATGAGGGGGAGTGCAGAGTGCAGAACCAAAGCCCATCTGTAGACAATTGGACATCCACTTACAGAAGGGTCACAAGGAAGAGATGAGTCAGTCAGGGTGCAGGATAGCAACAATGAAACATACAACTTTCCTCTAGTTCTTTAATGCTTCCTCTCCCCCCACTACCATGGCCCCAATTCTACTTTATAAATCTGGCTAGACCGGAGCATGTACACAGGTACAGATAAGAGCTAGAAACACAGGGAACCCAAGACAGATAAATCCCTCAGGACCAATAATGAGAGTAGTGATGTCAACAGAATAAGGGGCAGGTGGGGGAGAAAGGGGAAACCGATTGCATTGATCTACATATAACCCTCTCCCAGGCCACAGACAACAGAAAAGTGGGTGAAGGGAGATATTGGTAAGTGTAAGACATGAAAAAAAAATTTATAAATTATCATGGGTTCATGAGGGAGGAAGGGTGGGGGAGGAAAAAAATGAGAAGTTGATACTAAGGGGTCAAGTAGAAAGAAAATGTTTCAAAAATGATGGCAATATATGTACAAATGAGCTTGACACATGGATGTATGTATGTGATAAGAGTTGTATGAGCCCCCAATAAAATGATTAAAATAATAATAAAAGCAGGGCTTAGTATTGGTTCATTTTGTTTTGATAACCCTGCTAAAAATTTGCATTTCTGTTCCAGATATACTAAATCAAAATTTACATTTTAAGAGTTCCTCCAGGTGATTCCTATAGATCCCCAGGTAATTCTTTTTCATTTATGGTTTTATTTAGCACAAATAAAACTCGCAAATGGGCCATCTGCTCATTTTCTTTGCTGCACAGCCTGGTGTTGGGATTGGTGACTATGATGGCCAGCTGGGCTGCTCTTTCTACAATGGCTTTGCGATTCTTGGAGGAAACGTGGTGAGCAATCTCTGCCCAGTAAGACTTGTTGCACATCACCAGCACTTCCAACTCCTTGACGTTGTGGACCAGGAACTTGCGGAAACCACTGGGCAGCATGTGCTTGGTCTTCTTGTTGCTCCCGTAACCAATGTTGGGCATCAAGATCTGGCCCTTGCATCTTCTCCTCACCCTGTTGTCAGTGACTCTGGGCTTGCACCAGTTGCGCTTAATCTTGACATAGTGGTCAGATTGGTGCCGGATGAACTTCTTGGTCCTCTTTTTTACAATCTTAGGCTCCACCAAGGGTCTGAGGGCAGCCACGATGCCGGTGGGAGATGGCTGCCTCCTCCATAGGCAGCGCCGAAGAAGAGAGGTCCCCAGGTAATTCTTAGTGTACATAAGAATCGTATAGATCTTTAAATTGTTCAAAAGTAGTTTCTGATTCCATAAGGCTGAGTAGAAATGCAAATTATCTGGGGTGGAATGAACCTCTTTGAAGCCCTGTTAAAAAGTTAGTTGTAATATTATCATTTGTTTTCTTTTTTTATCCATTTTAAATTTGTTCTAGTTTCTATTATCTTTTGCTTTCTCTTGGATTGAGACTTTCCTGTGTTTTATTTTTTTGTTTTAGAGTTTTGGTATGACTGTCTTATATGAAACCCAGGATAAGTAAATCCATAGATATTGTAACAAGATTAATAGTTCCTGAGGGTATCGCAGGGGAAGTTGGAGGGTAATTGGGAGCTAATAATGAGTACAAGAATGAAAAAAATGTTCTAAACTTCATCGTGGTTATGACCGCACAACTTTAAAAAATATATTCCAGCAATATTGTTTTTAAAAAGTTTGCTACAGACATCTTGATACTTCAGCATGCATCTTTATAGAACAAGGAAAAATAATTATAGGAAAATTTTCTACAAAACTGTAAGCCAATATCACACTTCAGAAATTAAACAATATATTATTATCATGTAATATACAATCTATTTTCAAATTCTTTCAATTACATCCTACATAGATCTGTTGGTTTTTTTGTTTGTTTTTTGTTTGGTGAATCCAGTAACCAATCACAGATTCTCCATTGCAGTTAGTTTCCAGTCTCTTTCACAACACTTCCCCCACCTTTTTGTTTTGCATGACATGTTAGGTCAGCTCATTCCCCAGACTGTTCTTCAACTTGCATAAGCATGAAAGGATTCACATTAAATGTTTTGGCAATAATGTAAAATGTGAAATGTAATTATGTGAAAGTGAGTGTTAATAGGTATTAGATTTTCTTAGTACATAAACATCTCTCTTATATTAAACCTATTTTATGTGGTTTAAATATTATATTCCTTGTTTGTAATGTCATTTTACTTAAAACAGTTAAATATGAGAGTAAATCATATACTGTACTAGTCAGCATAAGAAACACTTTGTAACTTAGCAGGATATAAAATTTACAATTACGAATGATAAAATGTAGAATTTACTGTCACTGAATTTTACACATAAAAATGATTGAAATAGTACATGGTTTATTTATTTATTTAATAATTTTATTGGTGCTCTTACAGATATTATAACAATCCATAATTCAATTAGATCAAGCATAATTGTACAATTGCTGCCACCATCTTTTTCTAATAATTTTCTTTCTTCTTGAACTATTTGTTATCAGCTCCCTTTTATTTCCTACCTCCCAAGAATCCTTATTATTATATTATTATTTTTGCTGTATCTTACACTATCCAATGTATCCATTCACCTGAAATTCTGTTATTCATTCCCCTCTAGTGGTGTGTTTTACAGTCATAATTGCTATT